AATTCTCCTAGGATCTCCCAAGGGTCATTGCCCCATGGTTTTTAGTGTGCTAAGCCTTTTCAGGACTTCAGACATGGCCCACTTAGAAACAGGCTAATGCAAGACTATCACTGTCTACTGAGTTTTAAATGTACAACCTGTCTTCCTTTGGTCTACATACCCGTTATAATTCCTCTTACAAATCCCTATGATTCCTTTTCTGACCTTTGTACTCTTTTTCTTCTTTGGCTGTCCATGCTGCGATAACGCTTCATCAATCTGCAGTGTGTCAACTGTAAAAACCTACAGTGACTGCATTGAACAAAAATTGGGGATGGACAAAAATTACATAAATTACATAAATTACATGATTGAAAGCACATTATGGTAGACGGAGCCTTGTTATGATAAATCTGGATTCCAGTTTGGTGCTGATGGACAATCTTGCCATGCATCAATCAAACAGATTTGTGAAAGGGAACTACAGGGATGCTACAAAGCCAGTGTATTATTATTACTAATCAGTAAGAGCGTTGGGGATTCTGCTGCCCACTGGTTTGTCAAATTGTTTTTGTAGAAGACTGCTAATGTCACTCCTGTTGACCCTTTGAACATGCCAGCATGGGATTTGGCTAATTTCCAGTGATGACCTCAAAGGTTTGAATGCGGTGGGATAATCTCTGCGACCCTGATCCATGATCAGCCATGCAATCCCATTAGAGCTCCTCCTGTGTTTGTCATGGTGCCTTAACAGTGATCATTCCTCTACACATGTCTGTAATCTTGACCAATCAATTACACATCTGAACGTTAGTCCTGAGCACATTTATAGGAACTTTACGCCAAGGACAATGCAGATGTATGCCTCACTAGCTGCACTGTTTAAACAAGCTTATTAGGTTAGCCCATTAGCCTAAACGTCTTTGCATACCATTAAAAATCTTGTATGTCATTAAGGGCCAACTAGCAGCCGTATAAATATGTTTTTGGATAAAAGGATTAGGGATAAGGCAATATTTAAATCATCCATCTGATAAGTTTGTTGAAGGGTAGGCCCATGTGCCACCTCCTACCGGCACCTTATGAGTGAAAAAGCAACACTTATTCAAGGTGCCAGGAATGTCAATAACATCAAGCAATACAATTAATGATGTGTGAAAAACTCAGCCAAACAGAGTCTAGTACTCTTCCATTCTAATTAAAACACGATAGTCATTTATAACAGATTGTTGGTAAGAAAAAAACGATGAGTCAGGGTTTCACAAATCTCTGCAAACTGGACCATATCTGACAAATGTTGTCTACTTTATTCCTGACAGACTGGGCAGAGACAAATGGAGGGAAATATGATAATGCTAATTTCCTGCCAGAGGCTTTGAGTCTGAGCCAGTTATGTTAATCACACAACGGGTCGTATTTGCACTGCAGCGCTTCTAGCGGCATGTGTCCCAGTTGATGGCTTTGCTGAAATCCTCCTCATGACTTTGAAGCATTTGAAGGAGTTAGCTTGCAAGAGCTGAGAAAGTAAGTGATTATGCATAATAACTATGGATGAAAAAAACAGAGACTACAATGTATGTCATTTGCAGACTTTTGATAGACATAGTTGGTTTGGCATATTTCATACATTTACAGCCTTATGCTTGGATGATTGTTATTGGTATTCATTACAAATTTAGCATCTTCAATTATTGAGAAAAAACTACATGTAACACCTGAAACACATTAATAAATTACAAAGCCATCTTGTATTTGCAAAGTTCCTCCACCACTTTTACCTATACTTTCTAAAAATTCAAGGTGGCACTGCATCAAAAGTAAAGATGAATACAATCAGATGTTAACCATCTGATTGATGTACGACACATTTGCCTTTTACTCCTCCTCCTTTCTATCAGATTTACTACCAAAGAAAGTCAAGATCATTTTACCTGTGTCTCCAGATGTTGCAAGTGGTCTACTTGAAGCCAGATGAGGTTTGGTTCCTCTACCTCTTCAGTGTGTTGATCTGATAATGAACAGTCCACAGTGTCAATGGCTCTGATGTGGTCAGCCCTGTGAACTGTCCCAGTTAGAATTGTATTGATGTTGGTTCACTTCCACCAAGGCTGCACCTTGAACATGCACCGGCTGCCCCAAGAGGATGGAGCATGTGTTGTAGGAGGGAGGAGGATTGTTTGTGAGAGTTGGGTTGTCCTCTGAGAGTTTGGGTTGCCTACTTTTCTACCAGCCCATTAGTTTGTTTTTTTCCGCCTCTTTCATTTTGTCTCCTCTTCTTTTTTTTTTGAAGTTATCTGTCTTGAGGGTTTGACTGCTGTCACTCCACCCAAGTGAACCATTTGGTTTGCGATGGGGGATTTGCTCGTCACCCATTGCTCTGGGGGATGGGTGCACAACCACTATACGGCTAACGGGCCTTGAGATGTGTTTACTAGGTTGTCCGATGAGGTAAGTTCCGAGCTTAAGGGGGTTTGCACTCAGACATTCACACCCAACTTTTTATGGGAAAATTCCCTTTTTACAACCCACATCTTTTTGCAGCTTTCACCATCATGCCTATCACTGATAATGTGACACTCACTTAAGTCATTACCGAGGATTTCACATGAAGTCATTGCCAAAAACAGCCTTGCAATACAACGTCATCCACTGCAGTAGGGCAGGAGCTCCAGACTGCTGTTGAGTTCAGGCACTTGTTTTGAGGAAAAGGTGGAGGTAGAGCCTGCCCTGCCCACACAGGGACAATGTTTGTATAGACCTCACCTCTGTACTACCATAAGAGGTAGTAACAGAGACATTAGGCAGAGGTGAGACAGTAATTGTGAAACAGTGCTGTGTGCATGTCTGAGTGTGTGTATGTGAGGCTCCCGATGTTTCTCTACATATCATGCTTCTGCAACACCATAATGCAATGCAAATTCAAAGTCTGGAACACTAATATTACAACGTTGTGGAATCAATAAGAATGTTCAAAGACTTAATAAAGGCGGAGCTTCATGAATGCGCTGTAAAACGCTATAAATCAAAGCTGGATGGGCTTTCTCACACCTTTTTTTTTATGTCCACAAAAGCAAGTGCAAAGCTGTTATTCAGCCAATTTTGTTGCAATTAACCATGTTTGATAATTTTGTGATTAATGACTGTTATCGTCTTAGAATGAGGAACTTAAAAAGTATTTAAGTGCCAAAAAACCCCAAAAAGATCATGTAAATGCATTTTTTTCTTCCTTTCTGTCACCCCTCCCCATCATCCTGCATTGTATCTCAGCTGTGCGTGTCTGTGCTAGGGACACAGATGGGACATCTGGAGCCCATGTCTTTACTTTTTGGGAAATGGGTGAGAAAAGGAAAAATGGACAAGAGATGGGGAGTAAGCTTGATATGAAAAAGGGAAGTGAATTATCAAACAACAAATATGAGAAATCTGCAGAGTGGGATTTTAGTTTTTGTACAGTAAAGTTTCAAGACTCGATAAGTGTGCCTTTGGACGAATAAAGAAAATGAGTAACGAAAGAGATAAAGAGATGAAACAGCTGGAGACGGTCTGGATAGAAGGATGATCTTTGGAAGTTGGGCGGCCAGGCCACTACAGCTGATTATACTTTCACTTAACGTCTTGAACAGGAGGATGTGAGGCTTAAGGCTTTATAAAAGACTTTATTGTCTAGACACGGGCAGCAGGAGCTCCACTCAGGATTTAAATAAGGGCAACACAGGAGGAAGTGGAGGAAATTGTCTTAGATTGGGAATCAGTCAAAATGAGCGTACAAAAACATGTGACATGTGAAAGCTGTTTTAAAAAAGCATGTCACATGTTCAGTAGACGGCAAAACATTCTTACCACCTGAATGGTATTTGATAGCATAGGGAAGTGTTTAAGGTATTTAAATTACCTCTCAGCATGTCCTGATAGACTTTTCTGACTTTTACTCACAGAAGTGGCTCATATCAAAGCATAACTTAACTTAACAGCTGGCTCGAATTACAAACTCTAGCAGGAATCAATGGGCCATCTGGAAGCCATTTTTATAACAACTCCAAGTGCCACGTTTCTAATTAACTTACCTACTGTCTTTAAATTGTGTCTACTCTAATGAGGAACTCTGGAATAAAGAAACTAGTGATTCCAACACATGTGGTTCACATCAGTGAGGCATAGTGGTGTTGTTACAGTTTGTGCACAGCTCTGATATTGTAAAGGAAAGTGACAATGTCTGTAAAACTTTGCTCCTGATTTATTATGGCATTCATGTATCACTAGGAACATTTTCAAGGATGTAACTGGGCTTGTAGCTGAATTTGTTTTAAGATGTCACATTTTGTTGGTCATTTTTCAGCAGAGATGACAGCTATTTGTCTTTACTCTCTTTTACAGTGAAGGGAAAGAAAAGTCTGCAGTTGAACTTGATCATAAGTTATGACTTTTCTAAACAGTAAAAGGTGTGAAACGTTTACATTTTGAGAATTCTCTGCTTTGGCTACCAAATTTTATCCAGGACAACTCTCCATAGAAAGAATTAAGGGACAATGAACAACAGACTAAAGATATCCAGTGTTTTTCTGTTGATGTAGGCACAATCTGGCTCAGTTTAGTGATTTGTTTTGAGCATGGATTGTGTCAATAACAGATTTAGCAACCATATAATGACTTAACGGTTTGTTGGACGCCATTTTGAAGCCTACACTTCGGAATTTAGGCAGATGCCATGTTGTTATTTTGTAGCATGAAATGAGCAATGGGTTGCCAAATATCAAGTTATCAAAATTGTGCAGTTTGTGCCAGGGGCTAAATCATTATCTCGTGAATGAGCAAGGTTAACATCATGTTAACCTCGGAAACTTGCCGCTACATCTTCTTTATCTCATGGTGAGTGAACAATTTAAAAACAATAAATAAACCATTAGTTCAAATTATAATCCCTTCATAAAGGTGGTTAGGACTGGAGTTACAGGAGTACCTGAGCTGATAAGATGTCTTTATCAGTATGTTACAAAACACCCGAGAAATTAACTACAGCAGGCTGTTGGAAACATAGTTTATTCAACTGTGTTTGATTTCCCCAAAGCAAATCCAAGAGCAGTTACTGAGTCAAAGGCCACAAAAGAAATCGCAATAAAATGCAAAATTACCTGAACAAAATGTGATATTCTATTGACATAATCCAACACTGCCGCCAAGTAGACTTGTTTTTTGGTAGGAAGCATGTATCAAACATGTCAAACAACAACGTAACAATGAAAGCGCCTTAACTGCAAAAGCTGTAGTTTATTATCAAGGAATGGTACCATTGGTTGCATGCAAGTAAGTAATGTAGATGCTGAATACAAATCAGAAAAGAGCTTGACAGTGGACAGCCGAGACGTAAAGAACAATTTGACTTGTGATTTCAAGAAAAAACTTCAAAAGCTCAAGCTTACTGAGCAAAGTCGTTTTAATGATAATACCAATGCCTTTTAACCATGTGTCATTTATCTCTCATATTACCATCAAGAACTTTGGAAATAATCAAGTCCTAGTTTGACTCAAGAAACTTTTCAGTTTAGTTGGGTTAATATATTTTTACATGGATCAAGGAAGTCAATCAAAGGGGCCATATGTTTTCTGAAACAAATTGCACTCATGAATAAATAACTTTGGTATTTTCTTTAAAACTTTTTTGATTCAGTCAAAAAAATATCACTTCTCTGTAACTGCTTTTTTCTTACATTTGTTCAAAATTTCTCACATAATACACTGAAATGTGAGTATGCAGTCATTTGCTGGTCCCTTGCACAGCAATGGATTAATAATTGTACTCACATAATTAGCAAAACACACAAGACAGACAACAAAAGAACACTACAATTGAATTGAGACCATGGAGCCTTTGTTTACTCCATTGTGTCTGTATTCAATGTAATTAAATGAGAGTTTGGAATGTTTAAGTGTGTGTTTTCAACATAGATTCATTCTTCATATAACATTGGTAGCTTTTTTACATTATTATTATTTTTTTTTGCCTTCAGGTTTCTTCCAACACTGATGATGTTTATTCATACTTGATTGTATGTAGTGTGTCTAGTTTCATGTTGTGCAAAATGTGTTGCAAATTTTAAAAAAAGCCAAATTGTTATCTAGTGTATCTTACATTAGCACAGCTCTGCCTGTATTTTCTAATTGATGAAGGTGCCATTATAGTACCCCAGACTTGTTTATGTGTGAGAAAATGTGAGTACTTTAAAAGGAGGGGTACTATATTAAATCCAGAAGGCAGTGTGATGAGCTGCCATGGTAGTGAAAATCAGGGCCCCAGACAGGTCGCTGAATTATGGGAGTTCCTTATTCAAACATGATATTTGAAGCTTGGCGCAGGCAGTTGGAGGATTCAGGAGGCATGCTGCTGTGTGTGATGTTGTTGGCGTCCAGGCGCAGATGTTTCAGGTGGGAATAGTTGAGGGGTCCCACGAACTTGCAGAGACTTCCCAGGTCAAACTCTGCAACAAATCAAAAATGGAGAAATGTTGAATAGTTGCTAAAGATTTCCACCCTTTGAACTATTTGTCCAGCAGGAGTGCACAGGAGAAATGTTTTTTAAAAGTACACTTTCTTTTTTAGCTTGCATTTGCAAGAAGAGGCTACACAACCCAAACTGTGGTTTCATTCCATTCTGCCTGACAATAGTTGGGGACAATGATGTTCCAGTGTAACCAGAAGTAACCAGTGAGCCTACAATGGCAGTAAGATGAAGACAATGAGTGAGCTAGCATAAACAAGTCCCAAATGAAAACATTTCAAACACTTGAAGGCACATTTTCTATGATCAATTAAATGCAGTTTAAAGTGTGTTACTAACTAAAAGATACCCAAATTGGGTTTTGGTCTGATAACTAAATCCAAACCATATGGGACCCAACCAATTGAGGCCTTGTCCACAGCTCCTACATAGGCCTTCACTTGGGTAAGCCTTGGTTAGGTATTGAAGGACCTTGATTGTCTCCTTACAGGGCCCATATTGCCACTTTGGTCGTTACTGGTACCAATGTTTCCTGATTAAATGGTACCCCATTTTGCCCATTTGTGTGCCCATTTAAAGCCATGTTGCTCAGAGCCCATAACCATATGAAGCCCACTTAAGGTAAAGAGCATGCTAAACCCACTTGGATGAAAAAACATTTTTTTGAAAGAATTTCAAATGATAAAGCTTGTCAATTATAACTCACTGTTGATCTCGTTGGCCTGGAGGTAGAGTTGTTCCAGCTGCTCGTTGATCTCAGGGATGGACTGCAGTTTGTTGAAAGACAGGTCCAGCTCCACCAGTGATGTTACATTGAATACTCCAGCAGGGAGTCCCGAGTCAACCAGCTTGTTGTTGGAGATTCTAAGGTACTGCAGAGAGGGCAGCTTGTTCAAGTATCCTGCGCCGACAGAATCAATATCGTTGAAGTCAGCATAGAGGATTTCCAGAGAACTCGGGACTCCAGCTGGAAGCTTCTTCAGCTTGTTGTGGCTCACGTCTAGGGACAGCATCTTCTTTGGGCCCTTGAATGCACCGGAGATGGCATCTGATGTCAGCTGATTGAACTGAACGTTGACAGAGGTCAGATTCTCCTTGTCAGTCAGGAGACCAGAGGGGAACTTGGACAACTTGTTGTGCATCATCTTCAGCTCATCGAGGGACTTTGAGGGCGGGATGATTGGCTCTGTCAGGTCGTTGTAGCTAAAGAAGAGCTTCTCTAGGGCTGTGAGTTTGTCAATTGTACCCTTTTCTATCTTGCCATTGGTGATTTGGTTATGGTCAAGAATCAGCCAGCGAAGCGTGTCAGTTACATTATCAAACACACCTGCTTTGATCTCCTGTATTTGGTTGTTCTGGAGGTACAAGTACTTGATCCCTGTTGGGACAATAGGGACAAACTTGAGCTTGCGGCTGTCACAATACATGGCACTGGGGAAGCTTATCGGGCAGTCGCATTCTTGATTACAGTTAGGCCCAGAGGGTCCTAGCATGGAAACAGGCGGGTAGTCGTAATCATACTGACACAGCACCACGCTGACTAATATGGCCAGCAGGGGTACACGGAGAGGGAACATGGTTTCCTGGGATCCTACAAACAGAAGGCAAAGGGAGAGAGTGAATAATTAGAATGGTTTGAGGGGTTAAGAGCAACAAAATATAAACCTTTAGCCTAAAAAAGAGATCAGATGTAAATGGATTGGTTTTGTTCAAATGCTTGTTCTTCAAAAATAGCATGAGAAATATAAAAGCAAAGTAGAAGATCATCACCCCCAGCTACATACAGGGGTGTTGTATGGGGGGAAATAGGACTATTCTAAGGGCCAATAATTGACTGGGGCCCTTTAAAATGTAAATTCATTTTTTTGTTTCAAAATCAAATCATTTTGTAATTATTTGTGGGGCACAAAATCCCTGGCAGCGCCCCTGGCCATACACACACCAAGTCACCACACCCATTCCCCAAAGTGTAACAAAGTAATCGGTCAAAAGTTCATGTTAACTGATCGGAAACCAGTGTGTCCTGGATTCCTTGATTCAATTATCCCTGGCAAGCCACATCATTACAGCTGCAGCTTAAACCAAAATGCATTGTTCTAAGCACCACTTCTAAAAACTTCTATAAGCTATAAACTTGATACATTTCTGCATGAAGCAGCACTGTGAGCTATAATGCAACACAGATGTTCTGAAAGTGCATACTATATGTTATATGTATATTTCACCAATCATCATGTACACGTGTGCATAAAAGTACAGACAAAACAAAAGTAAAGTCATTTTTGCAGCATGTGTTCCTTAGTTATCATGTATTAAAGTGATCTGAGAGCAGATATATCATTTGTTAGGATCATGACTGTACAAAATCAACCCTTCACACAATGCAAAACCAGAATGATTGATTCCAGAGCCATGAAAAATGCAGACAGAAACTGGATCCAAGTGCAACAGATTGGCTTCCAGAGTCTAAAGTCAAACGAATACTTTAAAGCAGTTCTAAAAAGGCACTGTTGATCTGTATAAGATTAAAGATAATGCAGTTGGTGGTTTTCCTACAACAATATGCAAATCAGCAAACTTCTAACACTTGTTTTTTTTTGCTCCATGCATTGGTCTTCCTGCCTTGTCTCTTGCAGCTCTAGCTGCTGCCAAAAAGCCTTGCGGTGTCAACTGTTAATCTCACCCGGAAAACAGAAATAAAGACGAAATAATCAAACAGGAAATCACAACTCCATGCTTCCATATGCAAGCTTACCTGCAGCTCTCTCTCTTTGTGTGTGCGTGGGGTGGAGGGCCAGAAGGTAAGAACAGTGGTGTTCAAAAACTGGGAAGTCTCTGGAGGAAAACACAGAAGGAAAGAAGAAGAGAGGGGGAGGAGAGAGAGAGAATGGTAGATGGAGATACAGAGAGTGAAAAAAGGAAGGGGGAGGAGGGGAGATTTCTTTAGCAAACTAGAATCAGGTTGTCATATAAATTTGAGGTGTCTTCAGTATATTTTCTGGGGGTGCATGTTCCAAAAACTTCTGTTTACTAACAAAGAACAGGTGCAGAACGACATGCATATTAGAACATTAAAGAGACCCAAAAATTGATGATGCAATGAATATTACCTACCTAAATATCGCCTTTACAAAGGAGCCACTTCTAGTGCTTTCTGATATTTGTCCTTTATAAACAACCACTGCAGAGTGCGTCTAAGCAAGAACTCAAGTTCAAGTTAAGTAGGCTGTTGGTGGAAAACTGCAGACGAGCTATGTGTGGAAAAATGTGAAAATGATCTCTGGCAGGGTTTTAACCCAGACGCCAGTCCTGAAGAAGAATCAATTCATCTGTACCTCTGCAGTTGTGAATAAGGCTTTGGAAAATCTGACAAAAAGTAATGAGACGGCCAGAACAGACTTGCATAACAGTTGAGAAAAACATTTCTTCTCCTCTGTTTTTGACCAAAGGAATGGCGCTGTAACTGTATAGATAAAAGCAGATCCAATCAATCCCATATGTCTACTATGAATTATATGTCCTCACTGTCTTGTAACCCTGTTGTTTTTTCTCCTGCTAGATCCCCTAATGTATTTATTTGTCTGGTCAAATGGGGTGTTAGAGATAAATAGCCAAATGTTTCTCCCATTTGTTGGGGGACGTCTATCACAGCATGCCGAGGATTGACGTCTGGATTCAATTGGTCGCAGTGTGGTCTGTTACACTACTCACATACCTTTCTAAAAGATGCATCTCCCATCCCAGGAAAACTAGCATATCTATATATCATATCTCAGAGTTGTTTTTTCAATTGTTGGGTTAACTCTTATTTGCATTTGAACCACTAAATGCAGTTCCATCTGCATTTGTTAGAAATAACAAAAATATCTTCTTGATCTAAAAGCATTGGATTTAGATTCCTTTTTTTTTTTCAAAGTTAGCATGTTTGGATTTTAAATTGGTAGCTTTGGTCGATAACAGCACTATTGACTTTTCAACTTTCTATCTCCACTAAACACAGCCTCACTGGGTATCTGAAAACACAATCTGATTTTAACATGTATTTAATGGTGTTATTATCATGGCCTTCTATGTTCACATTATCCTCTTTATCCCATCCCATTTCAAAAAGCTGGTTAAAATGATCTGGAGGCATTGATTAGGAAGAAAAGGGGGAATGTTCCTTTAATGTAGATGGTTTACTACCTGGCAAAGGGGTTGGAAAAAGTGCAAATCCTACTGTGTGTCATTTGATTACAAAATAAATAAATCTGAGACGCTTCTACAGCAAGAGAGCACGTTGTAATTTCTGGCAGTTAGTCATAATTGAGTTTAATGCCTCCCAGATTTTTGTTTATGAGAAGGCAAAAAGCCCTACAGCTACGTCCTCTGCCTGCAACATCCAGTGAAGCCCTACTGTATATTTACCTTTTCTTCTAGATGTGTATTTCCTTTTTTTTCTGCATCATCTCGAGAACTTTTATTCTGAATAACAGAAAAGTCTCTGTTTTTGTCTCCTTATCTCTACTGACGCAAACAGTGACTGATGACTTAAGAGTCAAAGAGGATTCCCTTGGGGACATGTGCGCAAGTCATTACTGTTACTGGGTCAGTAGTCTAGGGTCCTTAAAAGGTCACCTTACACAATTACACTGAGAGACAGGTTTCAAATGTACAAACAAAAGCTAAGAATCTCAGCTAACTTTGAAACCAAATGGGCTACAGGTAGCTCATTCAAGTTGTGTTTCATCAAAAGTTTGACCATATTCTTTATTTTTCATTCTCACTTGAACAAAACAGTGCAAAGTTTGGGGATGCATGGTTTAGTTTATGCATTGTGCAATCCTGCAGTACTTCAGTTGAATACGCAACCAAACTAGTGCTAAGTAATAAAACTAACCATGCTAAAGCTAGCCCTGATGACTGGGCTATGTTGTTCATTTTCGCTTTCCCATTTCAGAGTCTAGACCCGGAACTAGATTGTTTATTTGTAGCAAGAACAACCAGTGGATTTAAGGTGTTTCATTCCATTTAATAGATGACTATTGTACAATAAACTTTGGCATACTGAAGGCTTTAAAGATTGTTTTTTTGTTTTTTTTGTTGTATTTTGCCCACATTAGGACAAAAGGCTGTAATCTTTAAGATAAAAAAAATAAACACCTCTTTGACAGCATCCCATCGAGAGCACATAGGAAGAAGGCCAAGTTCCATTTGTGGCTCGTCTGTCATTATAGCTAACAAGCCACACCTGATGTCAGGTTGCCCACTTCAGCACAGGTGTCCAAATGCTTCGTAATACATTCAAGGTACTCACTAGCCTGCATGCTAGGCACCACTTCTTGTAGCTCACTGAATGCAGATGCCCTACCCAACCAGTAGGGGTTAAAACTGCAGAAATGGTTTACTTTAATCAAACATTATCTGGTTGTTTAGCAAACATGATGTAAACATTACACTGCCGTATTATCACCTTATAAAGTTCTTGTGGCAGACACAGACCATCGAAAGCTTTCATGTGTTTGTGTTGCTGGCCGCCTTGCATATACTCACATAGCTGTTAAGTTGCTAAATGCTCCATTATATGCACTTATTGGTTTGTTGTTTAGTTGAAGTATATAGCATACATTTTGAGCTGTTTGTTGATTCTGTAAAAAAGCTGTTTACTGTTGCTAGAAGCTAGAGTTGTCGGGGCAGTCAGATCGAGCCAAAACAGTAAATATGTGGGTCATAAAACCAAAACAATGACCCCTATTGATGCCAAGCTGCTCCATCGAGCAGACAGGCACTGCAGTGTGCTCTGTAGACTCATCACTTTGAGCAACACCTTTAATCAACTGGTGTCACACACTATTGATTAGAGCCAATTTAAGTAGTAAAAATGAAGAAAACAAACACGATACTTGCTGTCCAAGGACATTTAAAAGCTGAAAGAATGGCGGAAAAAACACCCAAATACAAAATATATAACAGCTTTCCATTGGTCCAGACATAGTTCCAATTGGTGCCCTTCAGCAGAAGACTTTCCAAAACATTTATTTCACTGAGGTTGATGTGTTTTCACTTCTGTTACTGGAAGTAGTTTTGTATGGACCCAGATTTCCAGACTGTTTGTAGAGCGGAGGCTGGAAAACAGACATTTTGTCATTATGCTTAGTCACTGTGCTGCTTCTTGATGTGTTGATGTCTACCATATGTTCTCATGTCCTTTCCATTAGGCCAGATGGCAGACACTGGCTTTGAACACTGTTTTCCTAATATTTCCTTTGTACCCTCTGTTAGTTAACTTGCTTCTAGCAATGCCAAGTCATGGATTATATTGCATTATAAATTCATGTATAAAGTAGTAAACACAGTGTGAATTGCATTAACATCTTTTACTTACAGAGTGTTTGAAGCATGGACAAAGGTTGGTGTTTAATGGATAAAACAACAATACAATTCAGGACTTAAAGTCCAGTCTGGAAAACTATATTCTGCATGTTGGCTATTTTTTTCAGTCTCAAATTATATCACATACACTCCTCAGTGCCCATTTTCTGGTTATCATCAGCTGCATCACCTGATCACATCTGTCCAATAGCAATGCTCCACTCCCTCATTGTTAGCCTATCATATTGCTGCTGTCTTTTTTTTTTAATATGGCCTTCTATTCCACCAGTTCATTCATGCCATTGGTAACTGCGACCCTCCGCTTACCCATAACCACCAAGCCTCTGCAGTTTCATCACCTTCTTTATCCTATCAGCCTCAAATCACAGCATCAGTCATCTTCAGGTTAACCCCTCAGTCTTCACAGTTTGGTCAGCCTCTTCATCCCTTCAGCCTAACACTACATCTTCAGCTGTTTCGGTCAATCCCATTCTTCAGTAACAGCCGCGTCTTCATCCCATCAGTCCCAGGTGACATCATCCACCATATTCCCATCAACCCCAGTCTTCATAGTTCACTCATTTTCTTCATCCCATCAGCCTCAGACAATATCATCAGCCAAGGCCTCCATTCCCATCTATCCCCACTCTTGCTGCTCCTCAGGGCAGACATCTTGGGTCACCCTATCTCCCAGTCGAGTTCAAGCGCCAAAGATTCCCTGACAATAATTCAGTATCACGTATGTATAATAAATATTCATATTTGATTCATTGACTAGTATCTCTAAAACTTTAGATTTCACCTCAGTGAAAGTCTTGTTTTTGTATTAAACCTCAGTCTGTAACCCCAAACCAACTTTATTATTATACTGCATATTATTTATCCGTCTTTGAGCTATTTTCCCTGTAATACTTATTATGGCGCCTCGAGGCTTCCTGACTTTTAAGTATAATTATGGGTCGTAAAAAGCTATTGTGAGATGTCCTATTGTCGTATTTTGGTGCAAACCGTCTTGTGACAGAAGGCCCATAGCTCATTGTGCAAAACTGCAATGTCACTTAAATCATTTAAAGCTAATTTGATACAGAGTATCTCCATATTAATACATTCATGAATGACAGTTCATTTTCTGCTGCTCTTTGCAGATGCTTGCTTTCTCTGGTCTGTTAACCAAACCATAGAGCACGCCCTTTGTGCTAAATGCTGACTGTACTTTTTTTTCTTTTCTTCAAAACTCTAAACCCACAGATAAGAGAGAGAGAGAGAGTGCTATCAGTGGTTTATACACAATCCAAACTGTGCCCTTCATCTGTAACGGCAAGGGTTGTTTCCTTGAAGGCTGGTAGTGCTTAACTGTTACCACAATGTTTTTTGTTTTTTTAAACCAGAAAGAAGTTGTTTGAAGCTGATGTTATTGTGGAGGCTGGAAAACACAACATTCTGAGCTTTTCCTTTGTCAGCATGCACCCAGATCATGAACGGCTACTCTCATATGATATACTATTGCAGGAAATATGATTGGTGACTGTGACTCTAAAAGTCTGCGTCCTTGTGTGTCTGATCACAGCAGATCGCTGTCCTACAATACGTCTGGTTCTGCTCGAGGGTTCTACCTGTCGAAGGAAGCTTACCCCTACCACTGCTGCAACATGCTTCCCCACTGGTGGATGAGTCTCTTTGGAAATAATATCAAAGACATATAAGCAGGACCTGTTTCATATGTAATGTGTTGTGAGATAATCTTTTGGGTAATATGGTGCTGTGTAAATTAAAAATAATTAATTTGACTTGAAAGTAAGCGCTTGACCCAAAGCTACTGTTTACAATCTATGAATCTCTTCTGACAAGAGGTTCACAGATGGAGATCCAAGCAAGCACATTAGCAAACAGGGCTATTCTTGGACCTCTTGGCACATGCACACGCACATGCACGCATACACACACACACACTCACACACACACACGCAAAGAGGCTTCTAATAAAATCTCAGACAGCACCCAGACACCACCTTCTGTTCCTACCATGTGGCCATGTGTTATTAGCACAGAGCGCTAAACACAGAGAGCCTCATCCCCTGGCATGCCTATGGATTCTCTCACCTTGTCTCTCATGTGTGCACATGCGTGCGGCAGGGGCAGAGCGAGACGTATAACTGCAAGAAGATCTCCTTAACAAAACAGACCTTGGTTCCTCTATTTGAAATGACCTACCTGTATCCTGCAAACCTCCCTTGAATTCTTTTATAATCGCCAAATTAATGCAAAAACATAAATTGTCAAATTAGCACTTTCTGAAGGGCTTAACACTTTTCTCTGATGTTGATAGAAAGAATCAGTTTTAAGAATTTGGTGTCATATTGCAGGTAATCAAACAGGTATACGCCCAGGTATTTAGGGTACATTTTGTGACTGAAATAATCACCTGCACAAATTGTGATGCATCTGCTTTCTTTGCCTCAGTCATGGGGAGGTTTCTCTGGTTGCGTAACTGCAGAAACTTTAACCTACACACTCTCACAGGAGCATGCGAAAACACACTAGGCAATGAATGCATGTGCAAATAAGCCCATGGAAAGATAGAAGCACACAAAAGTTTTTCTCAAAACTTCATCTTCAGAAGCTTTAAAAAAAAAGAAATCTTGGGATTTGGCAGATACACACAGTACAGTACATCTCAACGCACATGCACCAACACACATGAATCCTGGCAGCGGGCCTGAAGCTATACGTCTAAGTGCTTATGTTCTTTAGTATAGACGTATGTTCAAGAATCAAGTTGCACCGTGCCCATGCATGTGTGTGTTTCAGGATGGGAAAAGCCAGCAAAGAATAAATGCTGCTGTTCTAACAACGGCCACATGGGGGCAACAGGTTGAAGTGCATTCATACTGCTGTGTTAAACTGCCTCCGAGGTGCTGGGATGAGTGCCAGCTCTCAAACACTGATGCTTTTCAGTCTGTCCTCTGTGAAAAAAAAAAAGAGAGAACCCAACACCCAAATCATATCAGAGGGGGATGATTCTGAGCCAGTCAAAACTCTGAAATGTTCTTTTTTTTCCCTCAAACTGCTTTTTTGGGAAGGACGTTTGTATTATTTGTAATTTAACTCCACAAAAGACGCTTTTTAAGTAAAGATAGCAGTCTTCTACGGCGGCCCAAAAGTGTCAAAGTTAACATTTTATATCAACTTAAATGGAAATTAAATTATAATTTTCACTTGTTACACACTAGTTCATTTTTTTGTACCCTTACACTGTCTTCCTCATGTCCCTCTAATGTTTTCACTTTTGCTAACTCTTCTTAAGTTTGTTTCCTATATGTCCTACACAGGTTTGAGGAACTTTCAAAATGTTCAAAGAAAGGAAGAAAAGGGAAAACTGCATTTCATTCCATGTGTTATGGGATTGCCAATTAGTTTTGGCGGTCGTGTAAATATCCTGTTGTTCTTTACTTTTATGCTTTGCAAATTGTTACTTATGCCTAACAGTCTTTAAATTAACAAATTCAAACCCAATTTGTATTTTTACGTTCGATTTATTTCCTTACTTTTTAAATATTAAACAACAACACTAAATTACAAACTCTTATGTATTCACTTATTTTTTCAACATGATAGCATGTTGCTAATTTTGGTCACTTTGACACTCCGTACAAATCTAACGAGATATAATGAAAATTGAGGAAACAATGCAGAACAAACAAACAAGACTCAAACTAGTTTTGATTTGGAAACTGTACAACTTGCTTCCTAAAGTCTCAACCGCTATGTAATTAGTCTCAAGGGAGTTCAATTTCTTATTTCTTTAACCTAAATATTCCCCGTTACAGTCTCTTTAATGCCTGAGG